GGTTTAATTTAATTTGTTTTAAGTAAATGAAGTGGGTGATTTAGATGTAAATAAACCTCTGTTAATAGTTAATAAAGGATGGTAAATTCAGCAGTAATGGTGAATAAACTGGGTAMTAATTGTGCCAGGTCTGACCCGATGTGTTCAGCTCACAATGTTCTGCTTCTGCTCTTTGTTTTCTACAATAAACAAAAAGCAGACATGTTCAGACTTGAATATTTTAATAATGTAGATTTAATTTTAGTTACTGATTCTTGTTAAAAACAAGTTAATGTTTAGTTGTTTTTCAGTAAATCCAGATGGTTTTGGTTGGATTCAAATGTTCTCCAATGTGAAACCAAAGTTATTTCAATCTGAGAGCCTGATCTGATGGATGGTTTATCATCATGTGTGGTTAGTTAACTGGTTAGTGTACCTCTGGTTACCATGTTAACCTTGTTGAGTCAGGGCTGAAGTCTGGACTAGTCCTGGCATGTCTGCAGACAGAAAGATGCAATCAGCTGTTTCCAGMCTGTAGCAGCTGTTGCTGATGACTCAGCCCTGCTGGTTCTGATAGGTCCAGGTCTGTGGGCTGGGTCCCGGTCTAGTCCTGACATGTCTGAGGAGAATATAAGAGCTGCAGTTCTGCCGGCTTCCTCTCTGAACGCACTTTGTCTGCTTCTGTTGCACAGGATGGGCTGCTGAGACCACCGGCTTGTAAATAAAGGTAAGAATTTAAATCCTGACAACTTTTAGAGCTGATTCGTTAGAAAGTAACTGACGTTATTGACTTGTTTAAATCTTTATTGTGTCGTTTTTCAAGCAGAACTAAACGTTTTTCTGAAGTTTAGAAAAGTGTTTAACATTTAGTTAAAAACAACTTTAAACAGCTTGAAGCTAAAAACTTTGTTCCTGTAAGAAACAGGAAGTAAAAATACTTTATTTGCATCATCGCAGCAGCTTAGAAATAAACAAAACACAAGAAGAAAGTGTGTAAAAATAAAAAGACTAAAGCCAATATTAAAAAATAAAAAATGTGAATGAGAAGTAGATCTAATAAATTTAAAAGCTTGGAGAATAAATC